AAATACAATGTTGCCTGAAATAAACAAGATACAAGCTTACATACTATATGGCATCTCTCCTTTGAGTGAGGCAAAGTACTATAAACAAAGGGAGTGATAAAGGATGTATAGAAGGGGACAAGGGCATGAATCTCTTGCAATAGGGAAGTGGACCAAAGGAACAAGGGTTGAGTGGTGAGGAGGAAGAGAAGGGGAAATTAGCACCATAAAGTTTTGCCATGTTAGGCAACCTAATAGTCTCAATTAATGCAAACATTATGTGCCATAATATGAGCTAAGAGTAATTATGTCGAGAAGAATGTAAAAGAGGACAAGGGGACTAGAGGAGAAGAGAGAGAAGGGGAGGAAAGGGGAAGGGGATTAAAAAAAAAGATACCAGTTGTAGTATGTACATGTAACCATTCTCCAAGATGATTGTAAACTGCATGAACTGCAAACATGTACTAGTAAAATAATAAAATAAAAAGAAACTGAAAATAATGAAGTAATTTTTGGAGGACAATCACAGAGCAGTCAGTAATTTGACAAACTTCATCCCTAAAAATGGTTTATGTAGCTGAATTGGCTGGCTGTTCTAGACATAGACACACTTGGGTGGGTAGGGCACCTGAGAAATGGGCATAAAGATGGCAACAGGGGTTGCTCAGGACCCAGCGAGCTCTGGAACACTTTCCACTCATGTCTTCCCCTTTTTCTTACACTGACCTGCTTTCCAGCTTTTCTGGACTTGCTAGTCTTTCTCACATCGTGTGCATACTCTCTGCCTCCCCCTGCAGTGCACTTTCCCCATGTGTCTGCCTTGTGGGCGGCTGCCATCTTCCGGCATGGCCTCACCGAAACCTGCCTTGATTCCTCCAGGCTGAGCTGCTTGTTTTTTTCTATAGTTTCTGAATTATGACTTCCTCATTCACAGCACTAATTCTGCTGGATGTGGCCACACTGTCATCTGGTGTGGCCAGAAGTTTTGAGGAGCTGTAGCAAAGTTATTTCTGTGACCTGGTATTAGATCTCCTGACACGTAGCAGTTACAAGTTCTTTTATTCTCTGTTTGAACCTTTAGGTTTATGCAGTCTTCTTACCAAAGAAGCAGGAAGCTTTGCGTTGGCCCCAGAGATTGTTTTCTGGTGTCCTCAATAGAAAGGGACTGGCAAGTAGAGGTGTATGCATTTGGAAACAGCAAGGTAAGCTAATTCTTGAAAATGGTCTTACCAGTCTAGTGGGAGCTACTCACCTTCTTGTTAAACTGTTTTGCAGAGAGATGACAAATATGTTTAGAAAAATAACTTTACCAACAGCATACAAATTCTAGTAGACTGTATGGTTCATAGATTCATGATAGAATTAGCTTATAAGGCACCAAGTATGCTGCTGGCTACTTGTTATGACTAAGAGAATGGCTTTTCAACCAAGCTGCCTATAAATAACAGATGAGTGTTCTTGGAATACCAATCAGATTCTTTCTATGAGAGGAATTTATATCTTGCTATCAGCTTAGTTCTTTCTGCCTTTTCACCATTTAAAATCTATTTATAATTATTATAAAATAGCACTCTTATTCATAAAAAGTACAATAAAATGTAATTGGAAAGAAATCTTAAAAAATAGAGAATTTATTTTTATAAGACATATAATAGAGTGGGGCAGAGGTGGGGAGAAAAAAAAGATGTATAATAAGGCACCATTAGGGCCAGCCAGGGATTTAGCTCAGTGGTACTGTGACTGCCTTACAAGCACAAGGTCTTGAGTTCAATCCCCGGTACCAAAAAAAAAGGCACCATTAGTTATAACTTAACAACTGATCATATTTTGGCCTAAATTTCACTCTTGCATTAGTGTAAAACAAAGGTTTACCTTAAAAATTGATAAACAGATGCAAGGGGGAGGGCTGAATAACTTATTTAAGAGGTCAGAATATTTTGAAATCCCTGAGTAATACCAAGTTTGGTAAAAATCTAATATGACAATTAAGAGGCATTTATTTAGTGAATCTGGTGATGTTGGGTATTTATTTCTCAATATATTGTAAGTATCATTGCCACTTGGTTTACTTGACAATAATTGCAATTAGTTAGTTTTAAAATATTTTATATTTCCACCTTGTTAACTGACACTGCTAAGATTTTGCTGTTAGTAGTTTTTAGGAGAAATGTTTTCGGCAAAGTTTTGTTTTGTTTATACTGTAGACTATTCTCCGTAGTGAGAAACAGCTGCTGAGTATGCAGGAGGAGTACAAAAGACTGCAGCAAGAAGACACTGTGATCATTCAAAAGTCTCCATACCTGCAAAATTCTCCAATTAGGCTTAGGAAGGCAATCCGGTTCAACAAGCAGCTAACTGGACAAAGAAAAGCTTTCAGCAGCCTGTTATTTGGACTGTACTGTCTTTGGTTCCTACCTTCCACTAGGAGCAAGGGTCTCCCCCGTCCTAGGCAATGTTCGGTGTGGCTCCCCGTGCTTGTTCTCCAGGAGCAGCACCCGGGACAGCTCCCTGCAGCCCCTCAGCCTTGTGAGTAGGACTTGGCCTGGCCTGGCAATGGACTATTCTCCCTGTTCATCAATTGAAAGGCGCCAAGTCTAAGAGGAGGTTAAGACCCTGACTTACCAGATAGCAACTGAGGATCAAAATGGCTTAGACTTTTCTTATACTATGCTTCAATTAGTAGGAAGAGTTAGTAGCTCCATCAGCTGAGGTTTATATGTAGTGGTTTCAGGTAGTAGTGATGAACTTGGAATGTGAGGATGTCTATCACATAGGTTTGTATGTACCATTTATCTCTCTGTTTCTAGGTCTACTCTTATTTTGGGCTGTTTGTATAAGTACAATTGTTATTTCTTGGCTTACAAAATACTGTTGGTTCAGCATTATGATCTGCTCGAAATTTCACCAGTGCTTAAACACCTTTTCCCTTAGTAGGTAGAACTTTGACAAAAATATATGGTGCTGCCAGGCCTCCAGAAGGAACACAGTGTTTGTGATGTAAAAGGACTAACTTGTTAGAGACCCCTCGTGGAGCCAATGTAATGAGCTAAAGATTGCTCTTGAGATCTGTTGCATGTCTGATGACAGCAAAGAACATTTACCTAAACAAGGAGGTTTAAAATCTCCCATGGAGGTATGCTACTAAATCATAGGTTTCTGTGGCCATGATTATTTCTTCAACAAAATGAAACATGTTACTTCAAATTCACCCATGTTAAGCCTCTTGTGTTGGGTCCCAATGGGGACTCTTCAAGGTTTAAACCAATTCTAAAACTTTAGGAAGGAAAACAACTGGAATCACAATGTTTTTTGTTTTCCTGAATATGATAAAGAAATACTGGTTCATTGAGGTAAGAATAACAAACTATTAAAAAACCTATAAAATAACAAACTATATAAAAAAGTTGATGTAAGTCAAATTGAATCTTAGAATACATTGTATCATACACTGTTGGTAGCAGTACAAAGCCTCCATCAGACACAAGGAATACATCTGATTTTGTTTTTAGATCAAGCACAGCATGCTGAATATATTTTGTAATTGAGTAGTATACATTTCAATTTCTCTGAGCATAAATTTCTATTGTTCTAACCACAAAAATGTTAAGTATTTGAGGTGATGGTATGTTAATTATCTTAATCATTCTACATCATATTACAAAATCAGAACATCACTTTGTATCCCATAAATATGACTTGTTAATATATAATGCAATAAATGAAAGAGAAAAATTTGTAATATAAAAATTATCACTGAGAAATCTCCACTCATTGAATTTTGGAGACATCAGTGTTCCAGTGGGCATAATTTGATAAGTCACTGGCACAAAGCTGCTTTAGCTGTATAGTGCTCTTGGAATGCAGTACTTTTATAAGATTAATGATAATACAGTCGTTATGTCACAGAATGCAGTATTTGAAGAATTTACTGACGGGCAGCTGAGAAGTGAAGCACAGGGGAATGTGAAAACAGGTTCCTCATACTGACTTTGTTGTTGGCTTAGAGGAGACATGAGGGGCACGTGGACCTGAGACTTCCCCAGGATCCATCACAGTGAATGGGGAGCCGCTGGCCAGCATGTGTTGGTGTCACCCCTGTGTCATGTTGGGACAAGAGCATTACTGCCAATTCAAACAGAAGAAGTGATCACTAGGGCTGTGGCTGGAGAAGCAATATATACCAACACTGGAGGGGAAAGGGCTATTTATTTAGAAAAGTTCACCATGAAATCATTGGACAGGGTAAACAACTCAGAAAGCCAACACTTATTATGGGGGAATTCATTGTAATTTGCTGATTTCTCTAGGCATCTTAGTATGATGCTGAACAAAAACCTCTCAAATATATTGCACTTGATAAGCAAGTATGATTGTGAAAATTCCCTTTTTGTTGTTGTTATACCTCTTTCCATTTTTTCTATCTTGTATTTAAGCATAATATAGTGTACCTGATGTTGGCAGGCACCTAATTTAGCACCAATTCCTCTGGGTGGAAACATGAGCCATACATTTACATTAGTCATAGCAACACTATGTAATTTATCATTTCTGAACAGATTGATATATTTTCATCTAAAAGAGACTTCTGAGAACCTTATTCACCTTTGAAGCATCAGCAGCTTTCAGTATAGAGGACACACAAGTTTTCTAATGTTATTTTATTTAATTTCTCTGCTGGTCTAACTCTGATTAGAAGTTCAGATAAAATTGTGATTCTTCTTTGCTTTGATTCTGTTAAAGTATTCCTTGGCTCTCTTGGGCACAGCAGAAACTACAAGTAAATTAATTTGAACAAAATCGTAGCAGAGGAGCACTGGGGTTCTCTGGGGTGGCTATTATTACTTGATTTCCAGATGGTTTAGGTTTAAAAAAATATACTCAACCTCACTTCATAAATACATTTCACAAGGGTATGGAAATCCAATGGAGAAATGAATCTTTGCAAGTGCCCTTGGATGCACATAAACAGCTTCCACTTTGGAAGCCAGCAGGGGACAAGTGAAACAAAATGAGTTTTTAAAAAAAGTTGCACATAGAGTAATTTTAATCCATTCAATTTTTAAATACCACAATAATTTTAATTTTCACAATAAATTAAATAGTCATATTCAGTTTACAAAATAGAATTACTTAGTGTGAAACCAGTATTTACAACAATATACACTATGTACACCGCATTTCTCTTTGTTGACATAGAAGACGGGAGTGAAAGGACTTGGCTTTTCCAACATGTGACTGACACGCTACAAGTTATGCCCTGGTCTGCATGAGAAAACAATAGTGCAAAATCACTACAGGAACTTTGGAGCGATGTCAATTTTATGAGATAGGACATACTTTTAAATAATAAGAAAATAACATTTTCTGTTTTCATGGCACCAATTCAGGATCTGAATTATAGAGCCAGCTTTCTCTTAGAAAAAAAAGCATAACTGAATCCTCTACTTCCTGAAGCTTCACAGCCATTGGTACATTTTCACACATTCATCTTTTGGCTTAAATCTATGGAAATGGCGGGTGACAAGTTCTGAATCAAAGGAAGACTAACTCTTTGAGAATAGTTGAAGTCACTTTCTGCCCCTACCACTACCTCTTCTGTTTTTGTAAATAGCTTAGAAGATGCAACTATACAGAAAACAATTTAGATTTATTTTTGTAAATTTTCAGTAGAAAAAGAACTGATCTTATATTTGGTCACACACTGCATATGTACAAGTATACGTGGAAAAAATGACTTGTATAGCTGTGTCTAGGAAAGTGCATATCTTAATCTAGAAGGGACATCATGTGACTCTAGGCACAACACATAGTGCTGTATGACATATTATTTTAGGGCCAGTTCAATGTCCTTCCAATGATCTGGTAGAATTTTTGATTAAAAGGGTGAAAGAATTTGCGCAATTTGGTTACGACAGAGGGGTCCACCTCTGGATGAATGCGCCCCTTGCTGCCTGCCAGGCACTTATTAAAGATAATATTAAATCGTAAGCAGTAGAACCCTCTGGTAGCATTGAAGTATAAATTGTATTGACTTATTCTTGGAGGAAGATTCAGGAACTTCTCCACTAGTTGAAGTTCTGGCAGAGGTTCTGTGATGAGGCGATCTCCATCCACAATGTGAAACTGCTCAATTGGAAAGTATTTCAGCCACCTCTCCAGATGTTTCGTGTAGATGCTGGTTCTCACTGCTTTGTATTTTGTGTTCACTTCACAGGTATTAGGATCTATGGCCAGTTTCTCAAACTTGTAATAAGTCTTGTTTTTCCTCTCCTTCCCTTCTAGCACCTGAGTATAATCAGAAATAGCTCTTGTGGTTGGCTCCCTGACAATGATCAACAACTTGATGGATGAGTTCATTTTGTAAATCCTTTCTGGAACCTCCTCAGTGATAAAATATGCTGGGCTCTTTTCGATTGTGATTTGCTGAGGGTATGAAAAAGGCATCTTTTTCCGGTACCATTCAATGCCCTTGGCATAATTCTCATCGTTGTCAAAGAAGTGGATTTCTTGAGAGGCTTTGACCACTGCTGGGTGGAGGTTCAGCATTTCCAGCAGGGCCCTCGTGCCCCCTTTCCTCACCCCTATGATGATGGCCTTGGGAAGCTGCTGGACCAGGTCATGGAGGCGAACCTGCTCCTTGGAAACGTTGCCCTTTCGAAACTCATGCAGCAGGCCGCGCTTAAACTGCAGGGCACGAAGTGGAAATTCAGCCTGACTTCGGGCTCCACCAAATCGGCCTTCAATGGGGCAAATGGGTTGTAGCCTGAAAGCAACAGAAACACTGTGAGAAGATTATTACAACTGACTTCTTGTTTTTCTGGTTTCCCAGTCAGGCTAAGACTTTCAATGCATACATAAAATCACTGGTTTCTAGCTTACTGCAATTCATAACGAACATATGTTTGGGAAATTTTATTTTAAGCAACTCTACATTAAACGGAGCACACATAATTGATGGAATTTTTTATTAGTGCTCCTTAAAATTTTTATTCACCAAGCACTTAATTGACTATGGCGTGTACTTATGCTCACAGTACAGGATAGACAAGTGACATCAGCCACACTAATAGCTTTTTAACAGCTCGCCAGCTAAAATCATTTAGAAAATGTGAAAGGCAGAAGATTATAATCTTCAGCTGGGAGGCTCAGGGATGAAGAGGAGGCCATTTGTTTTGGGTTTCATACCCTATTATTTTCTTGCAGCACAGCGACACTCACATAGCTCTTAAAAATCTTTAAGATATAATCTGAAAAGAGTTCCCAATTTCTATCCTTGGCTATTTGCATCATCTGCCTGCAAAATTCCAACCTTGGCACTTGCCAAGCTTTTTTTTCTATGAGAATTTTTGCCTTAGCCTTGGGGTTTGCCAGACGAATACTATATCTCCTTTGTTTCATTTCTCTGTCTAAGGAGGTCAGGGTTTTGTTTTCGCTGCTGAATGTAGGAAAGAACCTAGTTACTATCAGCAAGTATTGCCTACTGCATCTGGGACTAGGGATCAGCAAGTCCTTGATGGGACAGAAAGCTCAGATTTTCATTGGCAAGCACATTTAAGTCAGGGACTAGAGTTCATAAAAGGCAATGCAGAAGACGAAGCCAGAAAACAGGATTTTCACCTCAACATTACCTTAAGTAATGAACAATCATCTATATTCTTCTGAAAGTTATAGTAATGGTCACAATGATATCAACCTGGAGTAATGGTTTAATTTGGCATGGCCAATGTGTATGGTCAAAAATTTAGTTTCCTTTTACATTTAGTGTGAAGTGAGCTGATATTCATTATAATTTCCCTAAGTTGATCTAGCAAGGCATTTTAGTTTTCTCTGGAAAGAAGGGATATTATTAGTTTAAATGCTATTAAACCAATTCCTTCTCTTTCAGGAGAAGGTTCTAGTTCCCCCAGTAATTTGAAGTCTATGCCCTTCAGTGTGACAATGAAGCTATTGCTTGCTTTTCCCAAGAGAACCTTCTGTATCTCAAAGGCATGCTCAACTTATTTTGTAGAACTTGGAGAAATGGTGCTGTTCTGTATTCTGTTTAGGCAGCTATCATGGTGCTTAAGGAAAAATAAACATATCTTACTTTTTTCTAGTATTTGTTTTTCAAGATTTTTGAAACAATTTATTCTTGTTGTAGAAAGTATGAAAAATGAAAAACTATTAGGAACACAGGGTTCACCAGAGTTAACACTTTTGAGAAACATGAATTTCATTTCCTTAATACCATTTGTTAATGGTATTAATATGCTAGGGCTCTAAACAGAAGATACAAAATTATCAATAAGTACGCAAATATTTTTATTGTTCAAATGCTTTATTGAATTAATTGGCACATATTGATAAAACAATATGTGTTCCTTTGTGACATTTTAATAATATTTAAACATGTTTTTAACTGTGACATTGATTAGGACATTATAATTTCATCTTTCAGCTCTTCCTGGGTTCTGGCTGAGAATTAACTCCATCGATGGACTCCATCTATGCATCTAGAATGATGCCAGTGCTGTCTTCAGGAGAACTGAGGAAATCGTCCTTCAGATCTGTTTCTGTAGTATTTAATTCTTTCATAGAAGCCTGGCTAAAGAGGTTGGCTCAGGTATCTCTGCCCTAACTGAGCTGGGATGGAATTTCCATACCTTTAAAAAGGTTTATTTTCCTTCTTCACTTCCTCTTTCTATTTCCTATCCTGGAAGATCAGACCTTGCAGCACAATTGCTTTTTGGATTCCTGAACTCAACAGAATGTGTAAAGACAGGAGAAAAATAGCACACATTTCCCCACATGCTGGAGAACAAATTCTGATCATGAGTTCCTGACCAAAACACACACAGTTAAAATCGGAAGGCAGAGTACAGTAATCTCAGCCTCCTTCCCAACTATCAGGGTCTTCAGTTACTAAAAAATAACCCAACACATATGTCAATTTCAGACCTAAATCTGTGGAAACTCTCAAGTGATGGACTTTGAGAAAGCCCACCAAACAATCTGATTCCTTATTAAAAAAGTTAACCCATTGCAGACCAGAGAACACGTTAAAAATGAAAAGAATCATCAACTAAACACTGTATGACCCTGTTAATGACTGTTAGATCAATTACTCAATTAAAGAGTAAATGATTGGAAGCTTATTAAAGATACTGGCTATGAGCTGATGTAACATTCCACTATGGACACAAGACAATGGAACCACTGCAAAGCTCTTTACTAGGTGCTACTTTAGGAAACCGGTGGAGGTACTGACCCTCAAGCGATAGCTTTCAATGTGCTTCTCCCATGAGAGGTAACAACCACAGGAGGTTTGCTAAAGAATTTTGTGTTAAAAACCATCAAAGGGATTCATTTTAGCAGTGAGAATTGACACTTTCTGAGGGGCAATAAGGAACATAACTATCTATTATTTTTGAATATCCAAATAATAAGGTATACAGATTAGCTTGAATTTTGCAAAGAAATCTGGAAAGCAGATATTTTCACTTTAACATGTAGCTGTGTTTTCACTGTCAGTGGGAATTGAGCTCCAAGAGAGCATACATCACTCTTTGCAGTACAAGAATGAATTTTAAAGGGCAAAGAAAGAAGCTCCCCATTTCCAAAATTAACTCCTGTGTCCCTGCCAATCACACTGGATGCAGAGCAGCCAGAGGCACTTCCTGGACAGTCAGCTGATGTTGCTGGGGCTTCTGCAGTTCTCAACTGTCTGCATATTTAGTCAAACCCTGGCTCTAATTTCCCCTCCACGGATTTCCCACTGCCTTCTAGGCAATTTCTCTGAGTGACAGCCTCCTTGTCTGGTGTGTTCAGCTCCTGAAAACCAGAGCTAATTAACATAGTTAAAAATCCATGCCCGAAGCCATCTTTCCAGGCGAGGGATTGCAAACCCGGTGAGCTCCTTTATGGAACATACATAATTCTGACATTCCCAAGAGCACATTAACTGTCCACTCCTAGATTGCAAAGTGAAGAGACACAGCTACAGGAACAGTTTTGCCATGGCCAGAGGTCAACACCAGACAAACACAGACTGCACCATGCTCTAGTAAATACTTTTTTTGTTTTTATCTGCACACAGCTTTATTCCTTCTCAGAAAACAAGTGTCAATGTACACAGAATACAAATGGATCCTGAAGGAGCACCTTGGTTTGCGCAACTTTTATCTCCTTTTTAAAAAGTCTCCATAAATAAAAATCAATAAATCAGCAAAACATGTTTCTTGGGAATTTTGAGGGAAGAAAACAAAGGTGTAGACTTCAAGTTATATCCTAAGGAAGTTTAAATTGAGAGCCACAGAGTCACAGGGGCATAAGCCTGTGTTCCATCACCCACCTATCCAAGGTCCCAACTCGGGCAACAAGATACAGGAGACTCCCAACAGCAAGGCTTCCCAGCACTAGAAGCTTCTGTCTCAGCCACACCTGCTGTTTGAATAGCATGGCCCTCCATCAACCTTCAGGACTGCTGCAGCCTGCACAGGGAGAGAAGGCATTGTCAGCAGTCATCCTTACAAGCTCTGTTGTTTGTCACAAATCCAACGTTGCAGAGGTGGAAATGCAGGTGATTAAGTGATACTGCAAAAAAAACAGACTCATAACAAGCTTGGCAATTTGTGTGGGTTAACAGATATTTAGCAAAACTTACCTTTTTTCCTGGCCTGTGCCATAAGATCAACTATTAAATCTAGGGGGAAGATATTTTTAGAATAGCAAGGTGAATGCTGAAATCCCAATTCAATAAACTATCATCCTGGGAACAACAGTGATGTATTTTACTCACATATTTTTGTTTTGTTTACTTGTGAATAGAGAAAAGGGTGAGATCCAAAGTGATTGCTTACTGAGCTTGTCAGTTAACTATGGGTGTTTGAGGACAGTGTTTGAGGACAGTGGCTCTGAGGACCTTGCTGCTTCTGTTCATGCTCCCTGTCCAGTCCTGGGTTCTGAAAATAGACACTGACTAGATGCTCAGTGAATTTAACCGGCCACGCCCTTACATTCCAGTTAATCTAAAAGCTTCGTTCTTTCCTACTTGAAATAAAGCCAGCTGGGGAATGTGGGACTTTCCTAGTGCTGTTATTAGATTTTAGGAAAAAATGCAAGCTCCCAATTCAAACTTTCTTATTAAAAATGAATCCAATCCCCCTTTCAAGAGAAGATTGTTTGCTTCTTATTGAAACTCAAAATACTATTCAAGAAAAAGGAAGGTGAGCGATGGTCAGAAATTGTTTTGCTGCAGTAGAATCTCCATATTTGTTACATGAGGATTTTCTCTGTGAAAAGGGATACACTAGGACTGACTGACGGATCTATTTTCCCATTCATCAAGAAATATTAGAGGATGTACATGAGAGAGTCCAAAAGAGATACTAAAACACTTTTAGCCCTTGGAAAATTGACCACGTGACTAAGGAATTATGAAACAACTTGAGAACACAACTCAATTCATGTTGGGGAAACAAAATTAAGTAAAAGGTCAGAAAATATGGGCTCTGTGAGAGTTTCTGTTTTTGTCTTTTTTAGAATGTAGACGTGGATTGGTGAGGAGATGCAAGAGGGCATCCAGGAACAGCAGTTACCTGACACACAGTTGGCAGATACTTATGAATGTGCCCTGCCTGCTAGATTTTGATTTTGATTTTGATTTTGTATTGGGTGCTACAGCAAATAGTCATCAAGTAAACACACCCGGTTCTTGCTTCATGGGAATTCCTGTCATGGGAATACTGTCTATTGGAAGAGACGAGTGTTAAAGCAGTAATTTATATAGGGTTAATATACACTGAAAAACTGTAATAACATAAACCAGTTCTTACCAATGGTATTAAAAGTGACAAAGGGAAATTACAAGATCCAGGGAGAAAGAGCAACAGGAGGAGTCTCCCTCACTCCTCCCTGAGAGCCGAGGACACCTGAGGCGACACTTGGAGGGGAAGAGCAGGAAGCAAGAGTGGGACAGAGTGGAGTTTGGGTGGAGGAACCAGAACTCACACAGAGAACGGGGGAGGGAAAATACCTGGCTAGTCTGAGAAGTGAAGGAGGGAAGGTGTGGCTGGAGAAAGGGATGGAGGGGGAGCGAGAAAAGGTGAGGGGCAAAAGCAAAGAAGGAACAGTAAGAAGGTCCTTCACAGAGGCCCGCGTGGGCCTGGGTTTTGACTTCGCAGGGCTTGCCTTATGCTCAGGAGACTGGGAAGGTGATGGGAAAGACAGTGAGCTTTGCAGAAGCCTGCTTTAGCACATTGTCCAGGTGATATTTCAGAATTCCCCCAAACACCCTGTGAGATGGATGGAGTTGTTTTCACTTCATAGACAGGTAAAGTAAATTCACGATTTTCTCTCACTTGCTTTGGTCACCCAAGTGGCAGGTAATATGATGGCAAAGGCAGTGACTATGTAGAGTGATTCAAAGCAACACTGAATCAACCTCCTCTCTTTGGAGTGATGTCCAAAGTCCACAGTTAGAGCACATGCCTTTGGCACAGGGCTCTGGTCCCTGTTGAAATGCAAGTATTGCAGCAAGATGAATGACCAGGTAGGTGGCAGAGACCAACCACACCCCCCAGTGAAACTCGCTCTTATAGCCAGGTTTCTGAGGTTAGTTGAGTCTCTGAGCTTTCTTCTCCTAGCCATAAGATAGGACAAGCCCTGTCTCCCCCCTCCACAGTGCTGGGGTGAGAACGCAATGAGGGTTCCACAAGTAACATCACACTAAGGTTTGTATCTGTTGTGTTTTAGTGTGAATGAATGTAATTTAATCAGACGAGTGCTGTGACAGGCAATCCCATGGCTGTGTATGGGAGTGATAAGAAAAGTGAGGGTGAATGTGCTTGTCCCATGGCTTCAGTGGCTTGGGGAGGGGGGCACTAGCCTTATACCGAGGACCCAGCAGAGGGAGGCTGGAAAGCTACCTGGCTTTCTCAGCTATTTAAAGGTAGTGCGCGCACTCTGTTGCTCAAAAAATATTCTGCACAATGCATTACCCACTTTCACCAGATCATGGGTCCATCTGTCTACATTTAGGTATGGCCTACTCACTCTTCAGGGTGTGGGTTCTGTAGCAGTTTCTACACGAGGGCTTCTGTAGCTCATGATTCAGCCCACAGTCTTCCTGCACCCCCACTGGACTCTAGTTCCTCTAGTCAGAATTGCAGTCGAGCATTTCATTGTTCATGAATGCTTGATTTGTATTAGCTGCTGCTGCTGCTTTCTGTGTGTATTCCTACCACCTCTTTGCAATGGGCTAAATCTGATGGCTGATTCAGAAGTACTAGAAAGCTTACTGAAAGGCGCTGAGCCCAGAATCAGTGTGCTTTGCCATATAGGCCAGTGGTTCTCCACTGCAAGCTCGCAGAGCCTTCAGAAAACACACACCTGCTATCATCCTCAGAGACTCCAATTCAATAAGTCTGCATCAATCTTGCATTTATAATATCAGAAGAAAATCACAATGTTTAGTACTATTTTCTACCATCTTCTTTTCCTCTTTGGCCACTAATGCCAGTAAACTATTTCTCTTTAACACCTTCTCACACTTCATTTCTATTTAGGCATTTATTATCTCCATTATTTCGTTATGTTCTTCATGTTCATTTCTGTCTTAGTTACTTTTCTTATTGCTGAGACAAAATACTTGATACCCAAAGTTAAAGGGGGAAAGGTTTATTTAGTTCATAGTTTATAGAGGTTTCAGTCCATAATCGGCTGGCTCCAAGGCAGGGTGGCAGAGGAGAAACAGTTTATGGCAGCGGAAAACAGCAAAAGCAACATGGGACCTTAACAGTATCTTTCTGCCCCTTTTTATCTTTTTCAGACTACTTAAGAGTGGATAGCACTCACCCCCTTAATCCTAGTGTCCTTGGGCCTAGCCCCACCATGAATCAATCACACACTCTAGATTCAGACACCTGTGAAAGAGCATGAGGCTTTGCGGGGACATCTAAACACAAACCATAATGATGCTCGACACTCAAAGTTAAAGGAGGAAAGGTTTATTGTAGCTCACAGTTTGTAGAGTTCCAACCTAGAGTCAGCTGGCTCCACGGCAGAGGAGAAACAGTCCATGGCAGGCAGAGCAGGCAAAAGGCAGCAAAGCAACAAGCAATGACAGCACCAGAAGTGGCAGCAACAAAAGCCTCCCTTCTGTCCCTTTATATTCCACCCAGGCTACCCACTCTTTGGGTGGTGCCACCCATACCCAGGGTTATGTCCCTGTATTGTACCCTTAATTCCTGTATCACACACCAAATCCAGCCAGCTCTGAAAAGCCACACCTGAGTGCATGAGGCTTTGGGGGCACATCTAGATACAAGCTATAACAATTTCCTCAGGCCTGTACAACCTGATTAATCATCCAATGTCTAAGTTATTATTATGCTTTTTTGGTACTGGGGATCAAACTTGGGTCCTTGCGCTTGAGCAGCAGGCGAGTCTAAATTATTTTGTCCCTTGCCTGTTTGGCTTGTTCACTAAACAAAGTCAAATTTCTTCCCCTGGAAAGTGCAGCCCTTCTGAGGTCCCAGTGTTGGTAGCCAGCTCCTTTCTCTCTTAGGAGGCATTCGTGTGCCTCTCTGCCTGTCAGGTCCACCTCCTTATTGCTCCCCATACATCTTCACTTTCATGTTGATGCCTCTGCCAGCTTACTCACTGGCCTGGAACGTCTTTCCTATACTTCCTCCTTCAGCATTTGCAGATCCTACTGATGCTTTCCCAGGAAAGTGGTCTTGGCAGATATGGAATCTGGGGGCAAATCCAGTACACTTCCCACTGGTGTGCAGGGATGGGTCAGATCCATCATGTAGATTATTATGGGACCACATGGTAAACCTGGGCCTGGGAATAAAACCTGGAAGACCTTTGCATGGAGGCAATGGCTGACCGCTGTTTAAGGGGAACAGGTAGGAAAAAGAGGAAAAGAGTGACAGAGAAGGTGATTTAAGGGACTCCCACAATATGCATTAGGCCAGTGGTGGCAAGCCTATGGCATGCATTCTGCAGCAGGCACACAGAGCCCTCTCTGTTGGCACACAAACCAAGGCATGAGTTGCTTTTTCTAAACTAAAACCTGAGTATTCCAGTTTAATTGCAACATAGGCACTTTGTGATAACTAAGTGGGTTTTGCATTACAGTCTGGGCACTCAGTCTCTAAAAGGTTGGCCATCACTGCACTGGTCTATTAAACCTGACTAAGTAAAAGGTGGTTATTTCTTTCTTCTACCACTGAGGATCTTTTGGTCTTTGCCTATAAACTCACCCTTTATGATAAGCCCACAGAGGCTTTGCTCTGCGGAATAAGTCACTGTTACGCATCCATTCCTGATGGCAGAGATGGGGTTTTCTCTCTTTGGGAGATCTAATCTCTCCAGCCTTTCATTTGTATGCAGACCCACCTCTTACATCACCTCCTCCTGTGTTGTCTGGTGCGTTACGCCCCACAGAGCACCTTCATGTTTACTGTAATGCTGAAGAGAACTA